CATGAAGCCCTAGGTGGGGCGTGCCACCTATAAAGAAATCTTTGAAAAAGAGATCCCTTAGAGAGATAAGAGAGAAAATAGGTGTAACAATTTTATGAGGTGGAAGACCTCCTTTTTAATATTTTCTATGCCATAGGTTTTGTTTTCTTCGTAAGGTCAAATCTCAACCGTCGATCTAAGGAGACTTGTGGGGTGAGAGATGGGAGAAAAGAGAGATAGATGACTTGGGCATGCCCCCTTGACTTGAGAGAGATTACTTGGGCGTATCCTCCTTGGCTTGAGAGAGATTTTAGTTGAAGCGTGTCTCCCATAAAAAAACTTGGGAGAAATCATGAAGCCCCTTGGCTTGAGAGAGATTACTTGGGCGTACCCTCCTTAGCTTGAGAGAGATTTTGGTTGGAGCATGTCTCCCTTAGAAAGACTTAAGAGAAATCATGAAGCCCGAGGTGGGGCGTGCCACCTATAAAGAAATCTTTGAGAGAGAGATCCCTTAGAGAGATAAGAGAGAAAATAGGTGTAGCAATTTTATGAGGTGGAAGACCTCCTTTTTAATATTTTCTATGCAATAGGTTTTATTTTATTCGTAAAGTCAAATCTCAACCGTCGATCTAGGGAGACTTGTGGGGTGAGAGATGGGAGTCATCCACCTCTTTGATCCACCATCAAGATTCAAAGAGATGAGCTAGAGCATAATCCTCAAAGAATTTTGATTCAAAGATTTATTAAATATTTTCAAATATTCAATCTTATCATGTAAGTTGGTTATACCCAAAAAAATAAACCAACAAACAAGGAGATAACTAATATTGGTGAACACGTTAATCCCAATGGGTGGGGCGTGCCACCCTTTGGTGGCTACACATGGGCCCTACCCAATCCCATATGTTTTAAATTGGGCCCCATATTTATGGACGATTTCATCTATTTTAAAAAAATATTTTTGTTGAATTTTAGAATTTTTAAATCTCATAATTTATTTAAAACATTGAAAAATTAATTTTTTTTAATTTATAAATCCAAATGACAAAAATAAAATATCAAAAGACTCATAAAAATTCAAATAAAAATTCTAAAAAATCATTTAACATAAAATTAATTAATTTTGATGGGAATCAGATCCGTCAAATCTAGGAATTTATCAATATACAGTAGCACTCCACCTTCAACAACGGACCACGATCCACCTAGCTTTCTCAAACTGGCCTAGCAGTTTACATGACTCATAGTCCACTACAGGAGCTCATAATTGGACTACCAAAGTCTGCCAATAGACTAGAGAATACAATCTTAATTTATAGATTTCAGATTTTCTCCTAGAGATAAAAAATCATGATCCTCCAGACCCTGATGCAACCGTGACTCTCTGGTGCATAGGGTTAGTCTCTCACACATGGACACGTTTCACCATCATGGGACATGCCGTGTGATGATATAACGATGAGGTTTTAGCCATGTCTCTTAAAGCTATTCATCATACGCAAGGGTCACACAACCCCTCAGCTCTCATTTGAACATATTCTAACCTCATCAATAACTAACGCACTAAACCCTTCTCGGTAGATCCATATGCCCAGGTATTTTGGGTTTTTTCAAAACTCAGCTAGCCTAGCACTTCTAGCCTAGCCCGAGTATCGGCAAATAGCATTTGTCTAGTATAGTCTACACGAGGACCACACTCTCACTAAGTTTATGTTTCACTATATGAAATGCTTATACAAGCTCTCATAAGGCCTTTAAAAGCTACATAAACCCAACAAATGAAAGAGATGACAGGTTTTTCCTGCTGCCTCTTTATGTGTTTTATATGATATTAGAACAACAACTAACCTGTTCCATTTACTTATTGGGTTTGTTTTATCTGAGATCAATTATTCTTTGATTGGTTCCTTCGTGTCGGTTCTTCTCTTTTTTTTTCATTCTTAGATCACTATTTTTTTCGGCAAATCGGAGTTTCATCGAGGGATGCAGTTTTTTTCTCCGGTGAATCAGATATCCTTGATCGCGATTGTTCTTGTCTCTTCCTCTTGGCCAATCAGGTTCCTTTGCTAGCTTCCTTCTCTCATAAATCGTCTTTTTTTTTATTTCAATAGTCAATATTCTCCCTTCAATTGGCATCCTCATCTCTCCCTCCATTACTTTCACGTCTTTGTCTTCTCATGTCTTCTTCCATTATTTTCTTCTGACCTCCATTATTGACTTCTCTCACCTCCAATAATCATCTTCATGTTGTCATCACCCCATAAGCACCGATCCACTAATATTGATGATCATTATTTTATAGTTCTCATTCGCCCATTGAATTGGAACTTATTGATGGTTCTTATTTTTCGGTCATTTATTAAGATTTTTTGTCATCAACTAATTAAAAAAACTTATTGATGGTTCTTATTTTTCTGTCATTTATTAAGATTTTGTGTTATCAACTAATTAAAAAAAAATTACTCTTGTGCACTCGAGTTGATCTCTTTGCTCTGACTTTCAACAAATGTCTTATTTTTTTGAGAAAATTACATAAATATCCGTTATACTTTGTGTTATTATAGATTTATCAAATAGTTTCCGCCATTACATGTATGTTCGTTTTTTATCTTCTATAACGTAATTTTTAAAAAAAAACGACTTTACTCCTTTTCGGATGTTGAACAATCAAATTGGAGGGTTTTTCGGATATTTAACATCCGAAAATAGGTCGAAAGTTTAACATTAATATTCCCATCTTCGGGTGTTAAACATTTGAATTGAAGGGTTATGTCGATACATTGTATTCCTTGTAAAAATGGTTTTGGATGTTGGAAGAACGAAAATATCATTTTTTCTGATGTTAAACATCCGGAAATGGTTTCGGATGTTAGATATTCGAAAATATTATATTTTCGGATGTTCATCATCTAACAATGACTGTGAAATTCCATAGACTTTCTGAAAATTCAAAGTCATATTTTCGGATGTCCAACATCCGAAACCATTTTCGAAAAACCATTCAATTCGAATATTCAAAACCCAAAAATGGGAATGTGAACGTTAAACTTTCATTCTATTTTTTAATGTTGAACATCCGAAAAACCCTCCAATTCGATTATTCAACATCTGAAAAAGGGTAAAATCGTTTTTTTAAAAAAATTGTATTATAAAAGGTAAAAAACAGCTATACATGTAATAACATAAATTATTTGGTACATCTGTTATAATGCAAGGTATAACGGATATGTATGTAATTTTTCTTTTTTTTTTCCAACAAAAAGCCACCACAGTTTTTGAAATCCCAATTGTTTTCATAAATGTTCGAAAGCAAAAATCAATCAATAATTATCAAGCCTGGGTTTTGATCCTAGATTGAGTTTTCTTTTATTGAGATTGAGGGTGCGCACACCATTTATATATGGTTTTGTTGGATGCATTTTTAATCATGATACAAGATTTACACTCTTAAAAATATACATATAAGCCCATAAGTATAATGCAGGGAATAAGCATTAAACAAGCGTCAGATCCATATAACTTAACAGACAATGGGTCACTATATAAACCCAATAGATATGATTCTTGAAAAATATCTGTGGGGCATACTCCCAATTTAATAGTGGAGTATGATCCATTTAATACTCATCATGTGAGGGCCCCTATATGCCTTACGAATCCTAGTCATCGATCGATTCATATATTTTGGCTAAAGGCTATATAGGAGTGTTTAAGGACCCCAAAACTTGGGGATGTAACCCCCGAATCCATGACAAAAAAAAACTCAAGTTTTAACAAAAAAAAATGTTTCATACGGTTAGAACTATGTAGATTGAAACTCAGAATTTTATTTTTTTTTAATTACTCATCTAGTCTAACAATTATAAAATAAATTCTAAAACTTGAAATTCAATAATGGACATAATTTTTATGTGGGCTTAACTTCTACCATTCAACTTAATTGAACGGTGTATATTGTAAGGTATCCCTACAATCTCACCCATCCAACTAAGTTGAACATTGGAGAGTTCATGCAAGCTAGCAGCTGCATGAAATAATTTACCTTTAACAAATCCTACTATTTCTGTCTATAACCCTAGGAAATAGATCTATAATATACTCTCATAAGAGCCCACCGTGCAACCTCACTTCGAAATACCCAAAATTTGCAGTATTTTTAAGGGAGAGCGTACTGTACATCTACAACCATATATATATCATCTACATCTCTTATCTCCCAACCGTCAAATCTAAATGAACAACTGAAATGACCCCAATTACAATACCATACCTAAGCATTATTTTATTTTAATTTTTTATATAAATAATATTGACACCTAATTTGTGGCATCCATTCCTCTTTTAAGCTCACACCACCAAAAAATATAAAAAAATTGTCTAGATAAAATGAAATAACCAAAATTTCACCAAAAGATTCAAGGGTATTTTGATAATTTTATTTTTAAATATATGCTTTAAATGTACTCATTGAGATGATGACATCCACCAAATTTCATATTCATATAATTTATAAAAAAAAAAATTTAAAATACTCTAAGATTCTAAATTTAAATAAAAGATTGTATACAATGGGACTATTTATCTTTGATACAAAGTGGTCACAATTACTTACAACCCATCCGATGTAAAATTTGATAGTTTGGATGTGTCACAAAATTTGAAAAAATTTCTTTTAAAGTTGGAGCTTAATCAATAGAATAATTACAGCCTAATCTCACATCCAACAGCCAAAATTAATGTAACCATCTTGCACCGAAGATAAATGGTCTTATTCTATACTCTTTTAAACCAAAATGATCAAAAACTCACCTCGTGACATTATGACTAAACCCATCACATAGCTGGCTAAAAGATGAGAGATGTAAATAAAATATATAGGGGTGGAGACATATAGTGAACTTTCCCTAAAGCTTCATTTTCAATATCTGGGAGAAAATAAATTTGAAAGTATTTCAAGTCCTCAATACGATCTCCATAATGCTTATTTGTTTGCTTCGCCAAATGCTTTTTCATTAAAAAAATTAAATTAGGCACAAATAAGCGCATTGCGATCACGTAGTCCTCCAATTTTACTTTGAAAAAATACAACAAAATTGCATCAAAGAACCCGAGTGTTACTTCCCTTTGCATGTACAACCGAGAGAGAAAGATATGTACAAAAACTTCCTATGATTTCTTTGCTATTTACCCTCTCACCTTAAATCCGGAAGGCATGAGGATGAGGATGGGACAAAAAGATACAAAAAAAAATAGGAATATATATATATATAGAGAGAGAGGGGAAAGGGACAGAGAGAGGGGAAAGGGGGAGAGAGTGTGTGTGTTTATCTGAAGAGCATTTTGAGCTCTTCAATCCTGGCACTTCTGACTTCCCCATCGGTGAGAGCCCCTTCTATCATCCTTTGCTTCCTTGCTTGAACCTGCTGCATCCTCTCCTCCACGGTCCCCTGTCAATTTTTCATTTTATTTTCAAACCCAATTTACAAAGTCTCAAACTTGTACAAGCTAAAAAATTTAGAATTTTAGCTGATCCCAAATAATTGAGATTAAGGTTAAATGGTAATGTGAGAGATACCTTAACAACAAAACGTTTGACCAAAACCTTTTGCTTCTGTCCTATCCGATGTATTCGCATGATGGCCTGCTCTTCTACAGCAGGATTCCACCATGGATCCTGTGAGAGAGAGAGAGAGAGAGAAGAAAAAGTGATAATTAGTAAACGTAGCTAAGGAGTGCAAAAGCACCATATTCTAGAAGAGATGTAGAGAGAATGAGAGATTAAAAACAAAAGATGATGACAATATTACAGTAGACAGAGGAGACCATGACGTCTTAGAGGCCAACATACCCACCATTAGAAAAACTTTTGATGCTGCAGTCAAATTCAGACCAACTCCACCAGCCTTCAGTGACATCAACAACACCTGAAAAGAAAAGGATTTCCAAAATTCCAAAAGAGCATAAACTTAGCAAAAAGTTAGTAATAAAAACAGGAGAGAAAGAGAGTGAGGATCAAACCAAACTCAGGACAGGCTGGAGTTTCATTACATTCCATGAGTGGGTGACTTGGTTTCATGAAATTCTTTGGGTGAGATGCTATTAATCTTGCTCAGACAAGTTTGTTCGCACGAAAGTTCTATCTGCTGGACTACGATTTTCCTATGTTTGTTTAATGGGAAAGTGGACACTGTACTGTAGCCACTTTTCATACCTATTTAGGTATAGAAGCATTTTCCCATGTGATGGAGCTTCCATCTTCAAAGCTCTTTATTGGTGTTTCAGAGAAAAAGATGTGGAGCTAAACTTACATCAGAGATAATGAGAGAGAGGGGGCTTGACTTACATTAGAGAGAGAATGAGAGAAACTATGACTAGAAAAGAAAAAACTTAGATTAGATAAACCAGGACCAAAACTTAGATTTAGATAAAAAACTTGAAAAGAGTTAAGACTTGAACTACATAAATAACTTTAATTAGGAGAAAACATCTCAACTTGAGAGAGAGATTAAGATAGAAAGAGTTGGAACTTAAATTAGAGAAAAGAATTTACATTAAAGAGTTAGAAGGAGTTGGAACTTAAATTAGAGAAAATAGCTCACATTAAAGAGAGTATAACAAGTTGGGAGAGGGAGAGAGGATTAATTACAACTTACAGTAGTACTCGAGGATTCATTGAATTCCTTGAGCACCCTTTCCCTCTGTTTCTGGCCAAGCTTCCCATCAAACCTCAGAAACCCAATGCCCTTCCTCTTCAATGGGATCTCAAGAAGGTCAAAAAATGACGTCCACTGGCTAAACACGATGCACTTCGTACTGTTGGATCGCTCGACCAAACAATGGAGAAGGGCCGAGATCTTACATGAATCGTTCCACTTGTTCTTTACATCCACTCGGAACCGACCCCCAGTTGGGCAAGCAATCAAATCAGCTCGGCTCAACACGCCCCGGCACACGGGGCAAGGGCCAGATACACTGTCAATTTGCATGAGTTTCTAGTAAGAGACTGATCAATATGGAGAGAGAGAGAGAGAGAGAGAGAACTTATGCGTGAAAAGAAATAAGTTCAATTCAAAGGAGAAGAGAGACAGACGAACTTATGCATGCAAAGAGAGTCAATTTTCAAGAGAGACAATCTGATGCATGCAAAGATATTCATTGCAGGGAAAAGGCAGAGTGTATTATGGTAAAATGAACACAAAAGAAAGATTAGGACCATCGTCATCCATAGAAATGATGGACAGTGATGGATAGAGGTCGAAGGTTACCAGAGGGCACGCCAGCTTGAGAGGAGGCACTCACGGCACATACGATGAGCACAAGGAGTAAGAACAGGGTCATCTGCTGACTTGAAGCATATGGGGCACTCTTCCTCTGCATCTCCTTTCTCAAATAGGCCCTTCACCACTGACTCCACATACACAGAGGAGGGTACTGAGCCACCATTTGTAGTGGTTGCAGTCATGAAGCGATCAGCAAGCTTGTTTAAGTCTGACAATTGGTCTCCACGGCTGTTTTCAGCCACCACAAATTATGTCGATATCAAATATATACATGCAGAGAAAGATTACCAATCCACTCTCTTTTTTAAAGGATACATTTAGAGAGAGACTGTCCCCTACACATCCTTTTCATAAGAAAGAGAGAGAGTACTCCCCACCCCCTTCAAAGGGGACAATGAAAGAAAAAAATATTCCAAGAGAGAGACTAACCCCACCTCTTCAAATAATACATTGAGAGACTCCCAACTTCAAAGCAGAGAGAGACTACCCCCACCTCCTCAAAGGAGATACTGAGAGCCCCACTTACTTCAAAGGAGAGAGTCTTGAAGTTGTCTTTATGTGATGAATCATAATCTTTGAACTCAAATGCGAATTTATTAACTCAAGAGAATAAGAATTCAGCTTGAGGAAGATGAGTACTTGCACTCGGGTTTTCACGCACCTCACAACAAGGAATGGGTGATTACAGCACTGTCTTAATCGCAGGAGAAGCTCGAGAATGTTTGCATAGTTGTGTAGGACTTTTCCCTGTGCGACGTATTGATCGAATTGCACCTATTTCTCACAGAATGTACAATGTTAGAAAGAGAGGGAGAGAGAGAGAGAGATCCCAGTAAGAATCCTTAAGAAACAAAACGGGGTTATAAAGAGAGATATAGAGTCATGGTAGGGAAACCACTCATGCCCACCTTGGATCTTTTAAACAGAGCTTCATAGAAATCACGCTCAGCTTCAGATTGCTCGCACTCCACTGTCTCAATCTCAACCGGTGGAAGAAAAAGGATGGGCCTGCAATTTTAAGTAAGATTCACAATTAAATAATAAAAATTGATATTTCCAAGTTAAGGAAAAAAAGGAAAATTAAAGAAAATCACACCTTCCATCTTTATCAGTACTGTCCTTTGTTCTCCTCAGCATTAATGGCCTCAAAATAGCTTTAACAAGTTTCAAACCTCTTTCATCACCATTCTCATAAGGCTTCTGAATCAGTTTGTGCCACCTAAATATAATTTGCCAAAATGAAAAAGGTGCTTTTCTTCATCTCTGTACCAAATTGATTCTGGCTGAAAGTTTTCAAAGTAGAGAGAGAGAGAGAGAGAGAGAGAGAGCAAGCACGAGAGAGAGTTCACCAGGCCCAATTGCACCAGGGTTGAACATGCAAGAAGCAAAGAAGGCTGTAAAGATCCTCCAACTTATTCTGCAACAAATTATCATGCCACAAAAAGTCACCCATCAATGAAATCTCTCTTTCTCTTTCTCTCGCACACACACTAGTAGCTCAGGAACTACGATCAACCTGAAGAGGGGTTCCTGTAAGGCACCATCGACACTCTGAAACAAGTGCAAATGCTGCCAACGCTTGCTGAGAACTTGAGGACTTGATGGTATGTGCTTCATCTAATACCACCCTGAACCACTCTACTCTATGAAAAACACTTCCTTCAGATTCCTACAAAACAGAAAATTACATTGAACTGCTGTTAGAAGGAGAAATATGTTGCAAATCTGCAATGGAGAAAATGTTAGAGACAGAGGGGCGGGGGGAGAAAGAGAGACGGAGAGATCTTCATATATGTCAAGGAAACCTTAGAACAGTCATGGTGGAGATTTGTAAACAAGTCAAAGGATGCTTACTGATTTGTATGCTGAAGACAAGACTCCATATGTGGTTAACACCACATTATGATCTAGTATTACATTTAAGTCTCTCGTTTTGTCATGGCCATAGAGCACAAAGACTGACAACGACCCCAGCTCAGAGTGGGCTTCTAGTTCGTCCTGCATTCAATTGCAGTTTTACATTAAAAAGTTTGCATAATTGTACACAAGCACATTACTAATCAAATGATCATATGCATGTAATGACATATACACAAACATCACAAAACATACTGGGTTTTCAATTAGAAAAATTATGTTATAATGCAACGAAATAGGAGAATTGGATCGTCACTATCCGTTGAAATGATAAAACGTTATGGAGATGGCAGAACTGACCATTGGAGTAATGGCCCATTTTTGTGAGTACCACTTTGCATCACTCTGCATCATTTCAATGGACAGTGATGGTTCAACGGGCTGCTGATTTCCATGGGCCAATGGATTGTCATACTTTTCCATTTGTTTGAACATAGTCGTGTTTACTCAAAGCATAAAACCATGAAGGTATTTTGCTGGAAAATGGCAATATTACTGGGATATGAGAGAATTAGTCACCTTCCACTGTCCTAACAATGCCATGGGGCAAACAATAAGAGTGCCACCACCCTTGCGGAGTGGGGTTTCTCTTGTTGATTTTCCCTTTTCCACTTCGCCCCTTATTCCCCCGATTTTCTTCATTTCATGCTCATTTCCAAGAGCTTCTTTTTGGTTATCTAGGTTCCCCCTACCAGGGTTTCCAAGTATGAGGGCAATCGTCATCACAGTCTTCCCAAGCCCCATCGCATCTGCTAATATCTTCACAACACATTTTTTATAGTCAGATGACTAACAAGAGGAAATGCAGAACATTAAGAGAATTTAGAGAAAACTCTTTCCCTCTCAGGAATATTTTCTTATTTAGGGCGTTCTCAAACAAATTAATATCATCTATTACTCAGTTACTAACAGAAAACTAATTCTCTCAAACTGACATGATCCACACGCACACGGGCACACACACACACACATGCACACACGCACACACAGGCGGACATCCTAACTTCAGAAGAACCAGGTGTAAAATCTTAACTTCAGAAACACCCATTATTTAAATCAAAGTTGACCCACGGAAGAATTTATGAAGCCCTAATTGTGAAACATTAAAAGTGATTTATTTCAAATGGATAACAAATTGTGTCATATATGAAGCATACCCCTCCTCTGGCTATCCGCAGTGCACTGGGAAAGTGTGTAGTGGCCTCCCCAGAGAACACATTCACATACACCGCTGAAGCCCTCCTGTCATATTCAAATGTGTAATAAGCCAAACAAAAGCATGTTTCAAATAATACGAGGCTTTTAATTCATCTAATAAAAAGAAAGGAAAAAAAAAAGGATCAAGCTTTGGCAAAAGCCATACTTATCATTAATTTGGTATGCTTCCCAGCAAGGATGAAGTGTTTTTGCTGCTTTCTCCGCATCAATGCCTTTTTCCAATTCAGACATCCAGTAAAGAGCTTGCTTCTGGTATGGCTTCAATATGCATTTTAGTGTGCTTGGAGGATCCCTTTCCTGCAAAATTTTGTGATATTAGTATCAGAAAGACATTATAAATAAATGGCTAGTCTTTTACGAACTGATTTTCATAGAAACCTCAAGAAAATAGAGAAAGATAAAGATAGTAACTAGTACCTCCAAGTTATATATATCTGCAGCTCCAATGAGCTTAGACATGACAGAATCAGATAAGGCCTGTTCTTGATTGTTTCCTTCTAATGGTGTAATCCCACTTATGCGCTTTAAAGGTGGCATTAACAGAGCAGATTCATCGGAACCATCCTATTTTTGCACCACAAGTCCAGAGAAATCAGGTGCTTTGGTTTAATTTCCAATTGAAAAATGAGCTATGAAGTGACAGCTTGCAGAGATATCATAGCAGTTTCAGCCCCTACAAAGTGAATTTTTGAAAAAAAGCTTTTAAGGACCTGTAGATTCAATGAACGTTTTCTCTTATTAAGCTCCTCAGGGGTAAATTCTGCCTGTAGATTGAGAACCAAGAAAAGCATGATCACCACTACAATACAAAATATAAAGAAACTCCTGAAACTGAGAAAATACAATGCAATTCAACAAAAATATAAACAAGTAAAATTAAACAAGGGAAAAGGACTCATGGAGTCACCTTTTGAAATGGTTTGATCTTCAGCAATTTAAACAGAGTGGGAACTGGATGCACGGTGGAATCCAATTTCGAGGGAACAGTCAGTTCCCATAAACCTTTATCACCCTTGGTGAAAACTGACTTATGGATATAGAGACTGCACCAAGAATACCAAAAATTTCATTTCTTTTTGACAAAAAACAAAAACTAATGAGAACCTGATTATAGCACTGCTTGAATAAATTAAATTTTCATTAATTGACACATATGATGAAAAGCAACTAATTTGAATCTTAGTTTGAAACTTACATGTTAAAAAGTAGGAAAAAAAAGATTTAGTTCAAAAGGCTGGTAAAAGTCAATACAGAGAAATAAATGCCGAAAACAACAGAAAGGACTAATGCTTACCCGATGTATAATAGAATTTCTTGCATCATGCAAAGCTCCTCTGGGGCAGATATGCAACGGCCGTGAATTTTTACTTTGGATGAGTTTATGAGAGGAATTAAACACCTTGTCCATTCTGTTGGAAGCCTGCCAATCTGAGAGGGTAAATATAAAGAAACTAAATTAATCATTGACTTAACTGAGTGTGCATAAGATAAACTTCTCCAAAACATTAATACTAGGTTTGAACTTTGAAGTTTTAAGTTTCAGTATCCCTTTTTGTCCCATAAATAATGAGGCATTTGGGAAGAGAACCATTGGAAAGGAAAAACTCAAATTGCAAAGGAAGCAAAGCAATACAATGCCTAATAAAACAAAGTGGTACATAAGTCAAAATGCTCTTATTATGTTCATCTATGAGCCATATACAGGCACCACATCAACGAGGTTAAATTTGTTGCTTGAACTGGCAAGAAAGAAATTACCCTAGTTCTTTTTTTTCAATTTGAAGTAAGTTATTCCTCTAGCTTTATTGATGTTGGGTCATAAATGAGGTTTGACAACCAATAAAACGTAAACACTTAATCCAGAAGTTTAACTTTTGTTTAACCATTTATTTGGGAATGTCTACAATTCAATCCAATTGTTTTTAAATTTTCCTTGTTGAATTGGAGAACAATCGAAACAGTAAATCAACAAAAGCAACACATAATACTTTACATTGCATTAACTGCTGAGCCCAGAACATGGTCTCTATATCAAAGAAGTTATAACAACTTACTGAACCCCCATAAAAGTACTCCCTGGTGTATAATTACACAGATGCTTCATTTTTGCCTGGATAATCGCGTAGTAGTGGAAAAGCATACCATAAACCCATGGACTATGAAAAACAAGAGTCCCTCAAGTCATTGTCATTCTCTAACATGGCGATGGAGCAAAGAAACATGGAAGGAGTATCAAAATGTGAAAAGACAGAGATCAAGCTCACCTCCCCTGACCTCTTCGTTGAAAACCTCACAATCTCAGAGCAGGCAGCAGCGGCCTTCCAACTCGCCCCCTGTCTCACAATCGCCCCCCTTTTCCTATCTTTTGGAAAGTCAAAATCTACAATCTCATTCACCTCGAGCCTCCTCCCTTTACAAGTTGAAAGACCACTCAACACTGTTCCCCCCACAAGAAACCAGTCTTTCTCTACTGGAAAATCACCTAACTCAGCCGGGGTTCCACCATTTCCAGCCATTTCTTTGCCAGATTTTTTACCTGTTGCAGGATTCCAACCATCAGATCCATCCTCGATATAATGAATAGGATTTTTCGTCAAATCTTGATATTGGCTCAAATATTCATCTTTTGATTTGATATATGGATCATGAAATCCACCCAAATACCCATTTTCCAAACCCGCGTTTGGGAAATGAACATTTTCTGGCTCTATAAAACAGAAGTCCACAGAACCTTCACTTTTCACACTGAAACTTCCATTTTTTACCCCAAACTCTTCATTTTTCACCTTGAAGTCTTCATATTTCACTGGAACATCTTCTTGGGTGGGATTTTCTTGTGATTGTGGATCGCACTCAGCATAGATTCTGACGCCGGAATTTGTTTTTCTGACAGAGGATTTGGTGTCAAGGATGATATTAACAGCAGAGTGGGTGTCGCCTCTCGCGAGATGGAGGGCTTGGAAGATTTCGGGTTCGGATAAATGGGCGCCAAGGATCTCTCGAATGGATTCGACCTTCTCTCTAAGATCTTCCATGGATGAGTTTTGAGAGTTGCAGATCAAAGAAGGACTTTTAACCGGTGCTTCTTTTAAATTTTTAGCGGGAAGTGATGAGAGAAAGAGACGATGCTTCTTTTAGATTTTTAGCGGGAAATGATGAGAGAGAGAGAACTGTTGGGTTTCAAACAGGCTCATAAACTTAGAGAGAGAGATGGGTTTGAAGGACGCTTTGGGTGTTTTAAAGGGAAAAGGTTATGCAGAGCCGAGGCTTTAAACAATCAAATTTTAGCTTACCTCAAAAATTCCATTAGAATAGATTGTTTTTATATCTAAATATTCTCAAATTGATATTTCGACATCAAGATTCATCAACATGAGAAAAAAATAGATTTCAAGTTTTGGAAATAGTTCTTCGATTTTCAAGATTTCATAGATATGTTGATCTACACTATTTTTAAAGCTTTTAACTTTATAAATAAATATAAAAATATATTTTAAGGCTATCACAAAGATTTTCAATAGTGAAACGATATTTTTGGACACTATTTGAAGGTAGGATCTAATTTGATTGTTTAGAGTCTAAGCTCTATACAAACTGCACCCTTTTAAAAATTGGGTGCAGTTTGTATAGAACCAGGGCTCTAAACAATCCAAGTAAAGTTCACCTTCAAATAGTATCGAGAAAATGTGATTTTAATATTGAAAATATATGTGATAGCCATAAACTATATTTTCATCTTTAATCATAAAATTTAAAGCATCATAAATAGTGTAGATCGAGCAAAACCATGAAAACTTCGAAATCTTAAAAATTGACGATCCAAAAATGCGTTACAGCTATTTCCAAACATTAAATTCATTTTTTTCTCATGTAGATGCATCTTGATATCGAGATGATTAATTGGAGATATTTGGGCAACAAAACAACAGTGAAATTTTTGAGATGGGTTTTAATTTGATTGTATAGAGCCTCGGCTCTAAATAAATTTTAGAGAGAGAAGGGAAAGGGGTTGGCGGGGTGGAGGGCTTTTGGAAATAAATGGAAAGTTTAAATTTGGAGGGAGTCTCCATTGGTTGCCATAGGGAAAAGGGAAATGTTTTTCACTCTCTCCTCTAAAGTTTGAGAGGGAAATGCTTTTCCCCTCTCTGTCTTACTAAATTCGAGTGATGGAACCAATTTTTGGAGGGAGATAAAAATGTTTGCCAGAAGATACTCTACTCCGTTGAGAGTAGAATGTTCATTTACTCCCTCAAATAAAACCTTACTTAGAATTAATTTTAGGACTCAAAATTTAGAGATATAACCTCTTCAACTCATAGATTAATCTCAATAAATAAAAGCTCTTAATTGTACCATCTTTAGCACCTGAAGAAAAAGCAATGTCTCCAGATTAAATAGAGACCATTCAATTTTTAGAAGGTGTGATCTAAGTGTTTGGAAATTCAAATTTGAGTTTTTTTTAAGGAATAATCATCTAGTAATTCTTAAATGACTTCCGAAATTTCAGATTAGAAAAATACTCACAAGTAGATCTTCTAGACGAGGGAGTAGAACTAAACTATGCTCAATTATTCAGCCCCACAAGGAGAGTATTTCAACCTCAAGCACCTTGGCCTCTATTTTCTTTGAAAAATATCTATGGTAGTATCAATACAGGTTCAAGATCTCCCATAGGCGGATGAAGGCACCTATGTAATCAAATTTGTGCAACCAACCTTATTTAATCAAGGAGTGTGATTAAGAGAAATTTAACCAAGGATTGTGATTAAGAGATCTGCTGGTTGAATATAGTTATTATCCAAAATCACCCAACATAAGACAATCCTATATTTTATGTGGGATTGGAAATGATATTGATAAGTCTCCTAAAGAAAATAGAAATTCAACAAAAAGTATGACCATTTGGTAAATCTATTGATTTTAAGATATAGGGATTGTCTACAAAGAGACCATTTACCTTTTGTAAAAGGAGGTCACAATCATTCTTGTCCCTTAGGTTTCAAAATGGGTGATTGTAAGAGTGTCGTTGATTAGACAAAAAGTTTCAAAAAAAATTATCAGATTTCGTGACTCACATCAAGCCATCCAATTTGACATCAAATGAATGAGAATACTTGAGAGCACCTTGGACAAAAAGTAAATGGTCTATTTGCAGACAATCTTGAGATATATGTAACATCTATAGGTAGTTTCCTACTTAGTGTGGACTCTTAACTATATATAT